TGCCGGCCTAAATTAGGCCGGCATTTTGAATGTGTTGTTGCTAAATTGTATCCACAGTGTCTTCAGAAAGTTATTTAATGTTATTTGGTAACAGGCCTTAGTGATTTCAGTGGTATCTGATGCTAGAGAAAACATGTCTTAAAAGAAAACAAAGACATTCTGTCAGTATTTCATGTGAGCTGAAACAGACAGTTTTTTTGTATATGGGGATGGGTGCTCTTTAAAGGTTGCAGTCTGGGGAGGGAATTCATTCAAGTGTCATACTTGCTGATATTTTCCTGGGAAATGAAAAGGAGGTTACAAAGTGCAATTATCAGCATTTTTTCTGGTAAACACTTAATCATGTCATTCTAGAGGGGTGTTATAGTAATAAAGGCAAACTAAAAATAGAAGAGCCAGGATAACTATGCACTACAGTGAAAGAAAATCTAGCATTAATAGCTAAGGATGTCCAAGCTATTTTGAAGTGACTTTTTTTTTTTTTTCAATACGGGTAAAATCTGAGGCAATATCACTAAGTCTTTATTTTAGATTGACAGAAAAGAGAAAGAGAGGAATACTAGATCCTGATTCATAATTATCTTTTTTTGTACTGCTTTGAAGTTTATTAAAATGTTCATAATGTTGTCTGTGCACTACAATAGTTTGGGAGAAATATTGAAGTCGGAAGCAGAACATAAAGTATCTGCCCAAAAAACAGAAGACCTGTTTTGGATTACTGTACCATTTTCCTAACTGTGGGTTTTTGTTAAAATCAAGCTAATGGTATAAAAATAGCTATCCTCTGCCAATTAAATGTAGTGCTTGAAAAGCGTTTTTACATTGCTTAAACATTGGTCATCCCTTTAAGGGCTTTAACCCCAAAGTTGATGGTGCTAGTATATTTTTAATACTTGTATGTCTGAAATGGGCTAACTCTCCACTGCTCTTTAAGACAACCTGCTATTAATGGAAACAGTCTTCTTGGAGTCCTGTCCTCTAAATGTGCATCCTCTTTTTACTTACATTTTCACTGCAGTGGAAGTTCTTGTAGTGTGATGACAGGATATGACCTTTTGGCTTTGTGGAGAGCTCCTTCTGCCTCTTGTAAAGTATAGAACTATGTGCAGTGTTTGCACATGCTCTGATAATACTGAGTTAATTTGATCATTCTTTTCTCCCTGCCCAATCTCCCCAGTCACTTTTTACTGTTCTGTTATGACCTGTAATGTGAAAATTTGCACTACTGAGCTGTCTTTGTGATTCAATTTATTAAAACAAAGTTGACCGTAGATATTCATAGTTTAAAGGAATCTTAGATGCAGGTATAGATTATTATCACATTTGTTCTATGTATGGAACATCTAACTTATTTTTTTAATGGGTAACTAGGTTTAAAGTTTAGCCTCTATGTCAGTAGTGAAAACTGGATATAAAAGGGAAAAGGTTAATCCTAGAACTCATATCACTATATATTTCAGGTTTAATCTGTTACAGAGCTTATTCTCTCCACAACTACATGTGGTTTGTTGTCTTAGATATTTAACTAAATTTAATTTCTCAGATTAAAATAATGGTCAGCCCTTGCTATAAATGCTTACCATTATCTGGCTTAAGAGCTGATATTTCAATAAGCCAAATATGTAGCTCAGTAGTAGTTTATCCCCTGGCATGCCTAAGAGAACACTGATTCAGTGTGTGGTCTAGTTATCCCCCAATAGGGTTTTCCTTATTTAAGGAAACAGTCATCTGGTTTTGAATCGTAAATCTTGCACAAAAATATTTAACAATAAAAACAATTTAAAGAAACTGTGAAACTAAAAGAAAAAAAAAATGCCTCTCTGCATTACATACCTCATCTTCCAGAGATTCACCAAACTTTTTTTTTAGGTGTGGGTGCTGGAATTTCCCTGAAACAAAGTTTGTTTGACAGCATTTGCTAAGATTGTGTTTTTAAATAATCTTGAGGTGTGTGGTTTTTTGTTATGTTTAGTTTTTTTTAGGATAGTTTATCCACAGCCAACAATAAGCATTTTTTTTGGTACAACTACTTTTATTTTCTAAATCTTCTCTTTAGAGTAGCTAGCTCTGTTTGAGCTGTTGTACACCTCTAGCTGCAAGCTTTCTGAAGCACCCTCCCTCACAGTGTTGCATTAGTGTGTAAAACCAACTTTTTTTGCGAAGTGTTATGTAAAATTTTCTTGTTTTTAAAGCTTGGTTGAATATTTACAAGATTTCTTGCTGCTTTTTGACAATCTTCTATATTTATTTAGTAGAACAAATTTCAATATATTACTTGAAAATATGAAATAGAACTGAGTTAGCAATTGACTGGTCATGTGCTGTCTAGAAGTACAATATGCTGTGGTTAATTCTGCAGTAGGTTTGTTAATTTTGTTTATCTGCACTAAAATATGAGGATCTCCATTGTGTTTAACCATTCAAACTAAGGGTGTGATCTAAGACAGTAACGTGTTTAAAAGCTAAAACCTGGAACTTGTCAAGGGAGTAGACTATATTGAATCTTTTGCATGAATAATTTGTTGAAACTAACATAGCTGTGATATTTTGCCACTTCTTAAATGCTTTAAAAATTTTGGAAAGTCAGATTCCTCGTCAGTTGTGCTTTAAAATCAGACTTTTAAGAGTCAGTTTGCACAACGTGAGAACAATTAATTAACACTGCACCAAGGGTACTAGTAATTACACAGAGCTCTGTACGTTCTCTCTGCCTGTGTGATCCCTCTGCTCTGGGTTAGGCTGCCTTTATTAAATTGACAAAATGTAAAGGACCAAGTAAGTGGAAATCTTCCTCCCAAAAAATCTCTCAGAATTATTTTGGAAGAAACTTAATTGTTAACCCCCGTTTTATTCTAAATGTTATTGCTGATTTAATAGCTAAAAGTGATCCTGGTGCATCAGACGTAGCGTGTGTGTGTTCTGCAAGAAATGTAAGAGCTCCCTGTTTCTTAAGGCTGTTTAGAAATGGCATCCAACATTCAGTGCTCAGGTATGTTAGTAAGAAGTACTGTAGTCCTATGACGGCAAATGTGTGGATTTTTAAACATTTTGCCATAATTGCACAATTTTGCATTTTTACTTAATGTCATGTTACGTTTCTTAAAATAAACCTATTGTTGAAATATAATGACTCCAGCCATTTTTAATACTGTCTTTTCTGAATTAGGTAGAACTCTCAAGTGGAAATTCATTCAGTGACTGGGTTTTTTGGGACAAGTAACTCTTTTGCTCTACAGTCCTACTGTACTTTGAGGCAGTCTCACATTCCACTGTGATGGAAAGCACTGGGGCTTCCTTTCATTGTTGCATCCGTGTCTACTCCAACCACAGAGCTGCAAACTGATCACACATTAACTCGCACAAACAGAGCTGGCTTTAATATTTCTTTTTCAGGGTTGAGAGGTCTCGACACTTTTTCAGGACTGCTTAATATCATGTCAAATAGTGCTTTTGACTCCCGACAGTGGTTCCTATTAAGTATCACACAAAAGTGCCGCTTCTTATTGAACCTGTTACCATACCTATGAATTAGGGAAGTAGTGGTAAAAGGGGGGGCAAAGAGAGGTAAAGTCATCCACTCAAGGCTTGTCAGGATCTTTGAATATAATTACAGTCTCTTGCCACACAGCCAGCAACTTTTGGTTAAAAATTTCTCACTAGGTGCTTATAGAGTGTGTTCTCCAGGATTTCTGACTTTTTTTACTATTTTCACACTTCCCATGCTTGCAAACCCAATATTCTGTCAATGAATGTCTTCTGACTCAGCATTAATGGGCTGGGTTTTTCACTGCCTAGGCAGGCAGTGTGAAAAGGTCAATTCTGGATGACCTTGTGCTGTCAGGCCTATACTCTGATCTACAGTTCAGCATGTTAAACCCCCTCTACCAAGACTGAATACCCATCAGCAGCTGCTGTATGAAACCATTTCTAGGTATGATACCTATCCAATATGTTCCAAGTCCCTAAGCATTATGTGACTTCCAGGGGGTCACTTGGCATAATTTATTCTTTTTGCCTCCTCTGTCTGCATTGTCCTTCCTCTTCCTCCTTGCAGCCTCCTGATAGCACATGCTGAGCAGTGTTAATGTTTTTTTTCCATTCACAGACTTACCAACAGCAATAAAAGACTCAATCTTGAGAGGAGAAGCAAACTATCTTCTGCCGTCTGCAGTGCAGCATTTACTGCAGGAATTTTTCTGCCAAAACTAGGACTCTTTCATGTCTAAGCTGAAAGATGATTGAAGCAGCATTGCGGAGGTAAGTGAAGTGGCAGGCCCCGTCTGCATTTGTTTTGCAGAGAACTGAAAAGATCAGTGATGAAACTTAAATTGCCCTCTCTCCTAATGCTTGCCTTCACTTCCAGTGACCCACCTGAGGCCAGGACATTGTGACCACCTCAGTTAGGCAGGCAGGCCCAAGTAGAGCCAGCCCCAAGCTTTTCAAGCCACCTTCGGTTTCCTGGTAAGCACTAACCACTCCAGCCAGCCACTAACAGTGTACATAGTTGGCTGCAAATAGCTGACGTCCGTCTTTCAAGAGTTCGTGAATTATCTGCATGACCCAAACTCTCACTTTTACTGTTGTTCTTCCTACCATCAAACAAAGGGGACAAAATCTGATTCTGGTCACTCATAACTAAGAATGTTTCTCTGGTAGGATACTGTCATGTTGTTAGATGCATGAAACATAAGCTGCTAAAAGACAAAATGTTCTTGTGTGGTGCCATAAATATTAATGAGGACCACCCAAGGTAGTGTTACATTGGATAAAAAACTAGATGGCTGCTGTAAAAAGCTTTTAATAAATGTCCTCTTAATTTTTTTTATCCTAATCTAGTTTGATTTAATTTGGATCCTGTTCGTGGCAGCTTTTGTCGTAGAATCATAGAAATAGGGTCGGAAGGGACCTTGTAGATCTTCAAGTCCAACCCCCCGCCTGGGCAGGAGAAAAACTGGAAAAGAAACAACCTTTTTGGCAGCCAAAGACTAGCAGCACAGAAGCTGCTTAATTCTAAAAGCCTGAAGGAATTTCACCTTTCACAATGTCACTGTTAGACAAAAACATTTTTCAAAGGATTTAACCTCGGGAGAAGTGACTCCTATGAACTCTTGTTCTAGTGTGACCACAATCTCTTCAGCCAACAGCCTTCAATAACTAACTATAGTAAAGGGTGCCCAGGACAAAATGTTTTTATTTGAGATTCTCTGTGCTGATCAAGTGATGTTTTGGGGACTAGTCTATGATGTTCTATGGATCAATCCCATATAAAATGCTGACAGGTTTTGAGATCTTGACCCCCTGCCCTATTAATTGGTTGTCAGTCCAAAAGGGCTTGTAAATCCAACTTTTCAATGATAAAACTAAAAGCCATGAAATTGTGAGACAGGAAGACTTGCTACTGGAGAAACTATTTAATGGGTGGTTGGAATTTTATTTAAATGGATGACATTTCAGAGTTTACAACTTTGGTCTAATATGAAGTGAAAATGTGTAGATGTTTTATGCCAAATGCCAATTCTTAAGGAGGACTGGGCATAGTCCTACTCACATGCAGCTGACAAGGAGAGGAAGCAGGTAGTTTTACGCTTTATGACCTACTAGGGAAGTTGCTATTGTCTGAATGCTGGTTGGGGAGGGCACAGGGCTGGGATTCAGACAATCTGCATCTGCTGTTACCTGTGTTAACCCATTCTTATATCTATAAAAAAATTACTTCAAATCACCCCAAGGTTTGTTTCCATGATAACAGGAATAATATTAGTTGGCACTTAGCCCCTTCACTAACTGTTGGGGGAAGAGAACAAGAGTAATTTATTAAAAGTGGGAGCTAAATTAGAAGCTGCTTAATGGCTTTAATCTCCAGAGAGTGAAATTATGTTCATGTATTTTGGACAGCTATGGAAATCACTCATTGCCAAAATATTTATGCTCTTAAAATAGGTCAGATTTTGGTTTAAGCTACTTGAAGCCCTTTTACATTTCCTTTGTGATAGCCTAGTCCCTTCTAAAAATAGACTATTAAACTCTGGAAGACAAATAGTGGAAAGCAATTATATAGGTAGAGTTTTTTGCTGCTGCTGAGACATACATTCAGATGCATAAAGTATTTAGGTGCCTACCTCTCACTTGGAGCTAGGTGGCTAAATACCTTTACCAATCTATCTTTCTGGAGCTCTGATGGATTAGAGTTAAGGCAGGATAAGGCTTTTAATTTCTAATGTGTCCAGCTCAGCTGCAATATTTGCATTGAGGACAGTTTCACTGTGCTTAGCTTGGACCATGAACTTGTATCAGCCTATCTTACCCTCAGTTCTGTTTCTTGAACCTCAACCCCCTGCAGCTGTGTTCTGGATCATCAGTATGACTGGGGAATGTCTCAAATCTCCCAAATGGGGGTTTATCATACAAGTACTATGCAATCATTCCTATTAAAGTTCAGCTATATGCACTGTTGGGTTAGCTGACTGCTCTTCCATGAGTCCAACTCAACCTGCTCGTTATAGGACTAAAACATTTCCATGGTCTCTTTGTATTGCTCTAACCTTCTTTGAAGGGAGAATTTCCATCCTGTGCAGAAACCCAACACCAGGCTTCTGTCCCTCTTCCTTCCCAATAAGCCATCTAAGTAAGGGTTTGCATGAGACTTAAGTGTGGTATAGCTTCTAGAAAAGGGGTGAATTTCAGCCTAAAAGATTAACATGAGGCTGACAGGCTGATTCCAAGGGATCTGGTCTGGGTGAATTCGGTCATGCTGGGTGAGGAAGAAAGGAGCCAAGAGAAGCAAAACTTGAAGAGGAAATTAATCTTTATAGGAAAGGGTGGAAAAAACAGAAGGAGCTCTTGGCTAATAATCTAACGCAGAGGTGTCAACAAAGAGGGGAGGGCAGCCAGCAACTGCTGAAGCCACTGAACGGAGGGCAGCAAATGGAAGAGTTTGTGTGGCACTTGTTCCTGATGATGAAGAAAGAGAACTTCTTGTTAGTCAAGGGTCAGTGAATCTGCACGTCTGCCATTTGATGGTTGTTCTGGTTGCAGTTTGTGGAGGCACCAGAGGGTCTGAACCTTGCCTCCCATCATGACCTTTGGTCTTCACTGAAGCTGAACAGGGAGACAGGTTAACTTCATCTTTAAAAATCAATCAGACAGTGACCAGAAGGAGCCACAACAGCAAAGACCACTCCGGGGGCTTGCGTGGAACTCTCCCCTGGTAAGGAAGCAGCACACCCTGTTCATCGTAGGGGGAGAAAGGGGATCAGCGATTTTGTTACTCGGTGGTTTGCTTGGTTGTAATTTGCTGGCCATGTTTGGGGAGCAGGGTGCACGCTATGAAGAGACTGAGGGCCTCATCTCTACTGCAGAGGGGGCAGATCTTAGTCAAGTATGTGTATAAATAAAAAGTTGGATAGTTAAGCACATAATACAATGGATTTGTTCAAATACCTTTACTGAAAAACTATTTAACAAAAATGCATTTCAATGAGCAAATACTATGAGCAAATAATAAATGTGGGAATTGGAGAGGTGCGTCACAGTCAGCGCAATTCATTACGTTGTAAACTGGACTCTTCCTAATGAATTCTTGACAGCATGTTTAAAATCTGAAACTACTTTTTGTGAGTTGCAGGAAGGCAGCAAGGATAAGGATGGGTATTAGTGTGTTTCGATGTGCATAACTTTATCATAGCCTTTAAATGTGAAGCAAGATGTCTGCTACAAGAAATAATAATTACCTATTGTTTAGAAGGAGGCCATTAACAATATTTTGCCTACTTAGGATGCATTCAGGAATGGGATGTTCTTCAATTACATGGTATTCTATCTTGACTTGTATTTGTACAACAGACTTGATGTCATAAGATGAAGGGGGAGGCACAGTAAAAATGCACAGACCTGATAGCCACGCACAGTATAAGACTTGGAAAAAAAAATGAATTGCATGTAGTGTCTGGGTTACCTGATTCATCTTGGCCTTGTATCTGCTTACATTGTTTAAAATAATACATCAAGGCTGCTTTTCATTATTCTAGGGCATGTTCCCTTTCACACCTTCTAAGTGCTGTTAAAATGATCGGATACACGGAGAAGAGTTACTTAGTGGAGCATTGAAATGTAGAACCTACCAAATCAGGAGAGAGAGAGAGAGAACAAGTTTCTTTAGTCCAACAAAATAAAGGCTGAGAAGAGACACGTTGCTCTCTCTGATATGCACTGGGAGCTAAACACCAAGAAAAGGGGG